TGAAGCGACTGAGCGCGCCCTGGCTCGGTTGCCGATCATCTGATAGACTGCGACGCCTAGCGGCACAAGCAGATTTTGACAAAAGAAAGAAGAATCATTGATCATTACTACTTTGGATGAAAAGTGGTCTCCATCACTCATGACTCGTGATGGGCGAACAATAGTAATGTTTCTGTTAGTTAAAAGACCAGGAAAAACAAGTTTTTTGTGTCTGTGCAGATGTATTTGTTCACAATGGAAGATTATATCTTTGGGGAAAATAATCTGCAATCATAAGTACAAAGTAATCTATAACCCCCATTGTAAATTTTAATTTAAAGGGCACAAACAATATACTGCACAGTTATTACCTGTTATATTTCCCTGTATCTTTACAGGCTTCAATAATCAGGAAGTATGACAGTGAAATATGACGGGCCAAAAAAAACTGCTCACTGAATTGTGTATGTCCTCATGATTTAACAGATGATTGTCAGTGCTGGTTTTATTGATAGAGGAAACAAGCAGATAGCTATGTTGGAAAGAAAATGAACTGTCACAACTGGGTAAAAGTTCAGCAGAGTTAACAAAAACATGATCAGCTTCACTACAGTTCTGTACTCAATTGATACAGAGGGTTACAAACAAAGATTTAAAAAATAAAGAAGAAAGTAGAAAATCCAGTAAGTAAAAATATTGTGTTTGTATTATACATATTTATTAGGTGAGGAAAAATATCTAATTCATCATACATGCCTTTAAAAAAAATGATTTAAATACCAGCATGCAAATGACATTAATTCATTCCTTAGAAACTGCTTTTTTTTCATAATAAACACAGATCTGTTTACATAGTGTTATTCTTTGGTTTGACTAGAGCCAAGGGTAATATATAAATTATGTGGCAATCACAAATGTACAGTGAGGAATTGAAGTACTTTTTGCTCTTCTGTTTTAGTTACCCATCTTCAGCAGCAAGCGAAGAGTTCAAATTCTGATGGTACTAGTAACTGTCCGAATGTACATCCATTTTGCCTTTCCCGAGAGTGTTTAGCATTGGCTAGATCTCCTGGTAACTCCCCACAACGCCATTCTCCTCAGACCAGAATGATCTATTCGTGCCTCCACACGGTTCACTCGCTCCCAAAGGGCTCTTACAACATCTAGCATGTCATACATCAGTTCACCATCGAGTGGTGCAGAACCGACCAGTCTATCTGCCTGCTCATTTCCCAAAACACTAGCATGATCTGGAAATAAAATCCAAAGGATGCTAACTACCCGGGACTTCTGAAGTGATGCTTACCACTCTGCTTTGAGCATGCCTGTCTTCAGGGTTCTTAACATGCTATGTGAGTCAGTCACATTTACGACACATGTGTACAGCTGATTCTAAAGCAAATGGAAGGTAGCAGTGACTGCTTCCATCTCCATTTTCAAATTTGTCATGATATAAAATGCTGGGCTTTGTTGCACTAAGCGAACTCCAGTCACTTTTGCTTTGACTGCTTTAATGCATTTCAAAAGTCGTGGCCTCACACTTTCACAAATATCTCTAAACCTCCTGTGGGGTTCAACATAAATTTTTGCATGTGGTCTTAGATTTTCCATGTCCTTATTTTATCATTCACAATTGTACAGGTGCTGCTATTTTCTTAAAGCAGCAAATTTTTTGGATCTTTGTTTGACTAACAATTAGTGTGCCCCTAAATAAAATAGAATGTACTGTAGCTGACTTTTGTGGAGATTGTTTGAAATCAGTTCACATGCACAGCTTGTTTGGAAATCAGTTCACATGCACAGCTTGTTTGGAAATCAGTTCACATGCACAGCTTGTTTGGAAATCAGTTCACATGCACAGCTTGTTTGGAAATCAGTTCACATGCACAGCTTGTTTGGAAATCAGTTCACATGCACAGCTTGTTTGGAAATCAGTTCACATGCACAGCTTGTTTGGAAATCAGTTCACATGCACAGCTTGTTTGGAAATCAGTTCACATGCACAGCTTGTTTGGAAATCAGTTCACATGCACAGCTTGTTTGGAAATCAGTTCACATGCACAGCTTGTTTGGAAATCAGTTCACATATGCAGCTTGTTTGGAAATCAGTTCACATGCACAGCTTGTTTGGAAATCAGTTCACATGCGCAGCGATGCATGTGATAATTTTGATACCTATCCAGCACACAATGTCAAATCCACACCTCACAGGAAGATAATGCTGGGAATGACCACCGAAGAGTGAAACACCGATGAAATGCCTGCAATCTGATCTTTTGAAAAGCTTCTGTTACTCAGTCAACTGTAACTATGCTGATTATTTGCTTTGATTTAGTGTCTGTTTTTTTTTTTCATGTATTATAGATAAGGCAAAATAAAAAGCAAGATGTCTTTTTAAACTTTGAAAGAAAAAAACATTCCTTACAAGGACATGATTATTAACATGTTCCATGCCAAATTTCAAAACGGTGCAGTCCCCTGCTGATAAGATTCTGTCTTCCCAAATAGTGGGTTGCTGTGATCAAAACATTGCTAAGGCAGCGTGGTCGAGACTGCCAAATCAGAACAGGGCACAACCGATTATGTAACCACATGTACACAAAATTCAAGATAGGCATATCAGCCATGTGCACCTGTGGAAAGGTGCCTCAGACAGCAGAGCCTGTACTCCAGGACTGCACCGAATTAGACACATTAAGGCAAACCTTTTGGCTAGAAAGAACAACAGTGGAATGTAAACTCTGTGGACCACTGAATGAACTAACAACGACAGTGAAATGTATACAAGAGACAAAATTGCTGATATAGACAACTTATTCAGGTGAAAGAAAGAAGAAGAAGAAGAAGAACTGTCAAATCTATCAGTTATTATTCCACCCTAACATAGTACAACCACATACATGTTGATCCCATGAAAAACACATACTATCCTGATTTGGAAATTTGCACAAAATAGCAGTCCATAATAAGAAAACAGAATAATCTTGGATAAATCACAACAATCGGGAGGGGGTGGGGGGGGGGGGGGGCACTGCTGCTATTCGCCATTTTGAAAACAGAAGTCTATGCCAAATTTCAACAATTTTTTTTCAAACTTTTGCAGAGTTACAGATTTTTAATGTTGGGCACAACAACTGGAATGGACTTTAATGTATTCGTTTGATTTAAGCTGAAATAAACAAAAACATACAAATTTCTGGACACATGTCTCGGTGAAAGTATTTTAGCAAAAGAAACAAGGACACACACATTAATGAAAACATACATACGTACATGTACATACCAAATACCAGCAGTAATTTAATACACATTTATTATAAATATGTACAGCTGTACAATATTTGCAACATAATGAATACAGTTTGCAGAATTAAAGAATTACTTTCTTATAAACAATGGGCCAATACTAACTGTTTCTTATAAACAATGGGCCAGTACTCACTGTTTCTTATAAACAATGGGCCAATACTCACTGTTTCTTATAAACAATGGGCCAATACTCCCTGTTTCTTATAAACAATGGGCCAGTACTCACTGTTTCTTATAAACAATGGGCCAATACTCACTGTTTCTTATAAACAATGGGCCAATACTCACTGTTTCTTATAAACAATGGGCCAGTACCAACTGTTCCTTATAAACAATGGGCCAGTACCAACTGTTTCTTATAAACAGTGGGCCAATACTCAATGTTTCTTATAAACAATGGGCCAGAACCAACTGTTTCTTATAAACAATGGGTCAGTACCAACTGTTTCTTATAAACAGTGGGCCAATACTCACTATTTCTTATAAACAATGGTCCAGTACCAACTGCTTTTTATAAACAATGGGCCAATACCAACTGTTTCTTATAAACAATGGGCCAAATAATTCGGCCGGTTATAGGCAGGCCATAAATATGGCCGATTGTCTAAACGCGGTTTCTGGGACCTCTCCACGGCGATCCTCATCCACATGGTGGCACTTTGTGTCATCGGGTGTTTATCGCTTGGGTGATGTCCTGGTGGGGTAGAAAGTCAGTCAGTCAGTCAACAATGGGCCAAAACCAACTGCTGTCCGTATCTGACAGGTGCTCTATTCTTTAAAAAAAAAAATCCAAATGCTACCACTGCTACTAAAACCATCACTTTAGAACTGCTTGGTGTGCCCTCAGAGTGGCCTGGATGAATGTTTAAAGCGGATGTGATTCACAGTGTAAATTGTTATGAATTTATTTGAAATAAGACAGTTTTACTGCTCCTGACTTTAGGATTTTGCACTAGTTTTCTCAGATGAGAGGGGAGAAAATAAAAATAAAGGATCTGTGTAAACATTGAGCTTATTACAAATCTCTCACCAGTTTGAAATCTCAAGGAATGAGCTTAATATGCTGTTGAACAGGGTAAATCAAAAATGTACAAACCTACCCATAAAATAAAGATAATTTTTAGTGTTATTTTATAAGAACTGTTATTTTAAATATTCTTAATTCACAAATTTGTTACTTTATCCATAGCTGTCTTTTTTTCATAATTATCATCATCATAATTTCCACTTCTGCCATTAAACTTTGTGGGGAAGAATAGTTTGCAATCCAGAGCTTGATGGGCAGCAATGGCTAATGCCATTCCATGTTGATGTAGAAGCTCTTTACTGTTTCATAATAAAGATGATTGCAAATTATAGTTTACTTGAAAGTTAGGTGCATTTAGTACATCCCTTAGATGACATAGCAAACCAACTCCAGCATTTGTTGGCTGTTTGTGGTTTTCACCAAACAACTTTCACATTCAGTAGTTTGCCATTGCTTTCAAAATGGTTGGCTATTCATACTATTGTCAACATCAATGTTCTGCTGCCAAATCAACCACAGCTGGAATGAAACCTGATATGCCAGAATTTCAAGCAGCGTTCACAAACCCTTAGCCACAGATGTTGATTATAGCTTAGTGCAAAGTTATTTCTAGCCACAGATGTTGACTATAGCTTAGTGCAAAGTTATTTCTAGCCACAGATGTTGACTATAGCTTAGTGCAAAGTTATTTCATGGCAGTTTCAGATAAATTGTTTGTATGAGGTTGCAACAAAGAAACAGCACTCTCACTCTCCAAGATTTCTGATGGTGAATCATTTACTTTCACTGACACTGCAACATGATCATTACTGGAATCTTCTGCTAATATTTCTTGTGAAACTTTCTGAATGTCTTCATGGCTGCTGCCTATAACCAAATCTTCAAGTGGTTCAATACTTTCCAGCATCTTTTTCGAATTTTCAATGATTGCTGGCTCAAAAATTTCTAAACTAGATTTTGTCATAAAAGTATCAAAGTGCATGAAGGGACTCGAAGGTCTGATATCATGGTCAATGTTATCAGTGGAGTCGCAGGAGCTGATGTCACAGACAATATTCTTCTCACTGCTCAGGGAATCTCCATCGGGTGGGTAGTTGTCTGATCTGTCAGATAGAGGCACCAGGGGTTTCTCAGAGGTGTTAGGAAAACCTGCTTCAGATCCAGGAGAGCTACAAAGGGAGCTTACTTCTTCACTTCTGATGGCTCTACGACCTGGATACAGAGGAAGGGATTGTGTTCTCTTGACTTGTTTCTTGTCCCGTCTTTTCCTACCATATTTCAATCTCATAAATGATGTGTCATCATTATCCAGAGCTGTGGTTAGTACTCTGGCTCGGAAAACACTTTCATTATTAATGTCTTGATATCCACCGTCTTCCTCATCATTATCTCCAGAATCCTTATCATACTCATCCCCTTCTGTATCATCAAAAACACTGTCTACATCATCAGATGTTGACAAGGTAGGAAAACTTGGCTCTGCTGAATGAAAAAAGAAAAAGTAAAACTTAATTAATGAAGAACAAGTTGTCTGTTAAAATGTATAAATTAAACTTAAAATACATGAAAACATTAAATTATTAATTATCATCATCATGTAGCAGGTCCTTTGCAGAATGTCGCTCTCATCACAGTCTGCCTGAAAGAAACTCGGTCTCTCGCCAGTTCTCCCGCCTCATGAACTTTCACACTCAAGGAGTCACTTATATCCTGTGCCCATCTTCATGTCGGTGGGTCCCTGTCCCTCCTTCCTGGTACCATGCCTTCTGCTATAATTTTTTTCCAATTTGTTGTGGCGCTTGGTATGACCAAAATATTTCAGCTTAAATTATTAATAGAAAAGGAAAATTAATTACAAGGAAATAATAGTAACAATATGCAAATTATAAATACAAAATGAAAGAAGGAAAAACTGCAGCTAACTTATAGCAGCAACTATAACTGTCATAGAACAAAGAGCAAAAACAACTAACATAAAAAAAATATGGACTATATATTACAAATAAATTGAATATTGTACTTAAAGACACCAGTTGCAAAGATTCAAATGTATTGCATAATAGTCAGTGTTCCTGTTTAATTGAACACGTTTAGGATTCAAGGTTTTAGAAGAATTTATAGTTTGATGTGTGAGGCTCAAGGGTAATTTAGCGTTGTAGAATGGGTATACCAGATTTTTCACAGAAAGGGAGTAAGCCTCTCACAATGCTGTTTAATGGTCTCATATTTGTGAAGGCCTAATTAACATTTTGATGGCGTCGATAGACAAGTATTATGGAAAGTAATCGCTCAGTATGGAGTGAGCCATCATCTCATCGGAATGTGGAAAAAGTTTATATCGGGATTGTAGAAGTATTTTTAAAAAAAAGGAAGTAAAGGACCCTTTTCCACCCCTTTAGGCGTATAGGACATATAGACCTATGTTTGTATAGACCAGTCGGCACAAAATGAGTGATGTGGTCAGCATCATGCCGGCCACATTTACTTCCCGGGACTGCAACCCATACCCACTCAAGGCTGGGTCCACCTGGGAGCCAAGGTCGTTTTTGAAAAAAGTCTGACTTCGCCAGGGAGCGAACCCACTACCTTCCCATCCGCTGTGAGCGTTTAGCCGCTCTGCCATGGTGACTTCTGTAGAAGCATAGTTATAATAGATCATAGAACATCTAAATTATTCATAGTAACATCCAGAGTGAGGCAGAGATGTGTCTTATCAACACTGCTGTTTATAACATATTTCAACAGTATATGCAAGGATGCCAAGCCTAGGAATGAAAATATCTGTAATATCAACAAATTATTCTTTGCTGATGACCAGACCTCAATAGCAGATACAGCCATGAAATTGCAACATCTCACAGCCACGAATGAAGAATGTTAAACATAATATGAGAATCAACACTGAAAATACAGAAGTAATGTCAAAAGGAACAAAGAAGCAGAATCTAAGTAAAGCAGTAGAGTGCAAAAGCATTAACCAGGCATCTGAGTTTAACAATCTGGGAATGACATTCACCAAAGATGATAATTAGATGAAGAAATTAATAACAGAAGCAGTAAATCAAACAAAGTATTGGGACAGCTAGCCCTCCTTACAACACATGACAATCCCAATCAGCACAAAGAAACATCTCATACAAAGCATATTTATTCCAACCCTATGCTACCAGTGCCAGACATGGTCACTCACAACAAACTAGGACAGAAAATTAGTAATCATGGAATGATATGTCTGAGAAGGGCTGCAGGAGTGATGAGAATAGATGTCCTCCATCAAATGTGCAGCTTCCTCTGTGGGGTTCCGGGGATCAACAGTGGGAAAACAAGACCAGACACACTGCCTCCCCAGCAAGTTCTGTTACTTGATTAACAAGTAAATCATAAGATTCGACTAACCGAGGGCTTTCTTCTAAGCTGGAATGCATCTGCATGAGAGGTATGAACCGACAATCTGCATACAGATAAGTCAGATCTATAAAACAGAGCTGGAAAAACAACCAAATATGGACATAACTTTAGAAAAAAAAAATACAAACAGGCACCCACCAGCCTCTGAAGTGCTTTTGTTGTCTTCAGCACCGACTCCTGGTTCTCGAGGGAACATGAGGAGAAAGTTCTGCCTCCTTTGTTCGTGAATACTGTTAGATATTTGCTCCAGGTGTTTCAGTGCACCAGAATATCTTTGTTTGGCTGCTTTGAAGGCTTGCTGGAGGTCTTCCACTGTTTGTTTCAATTGCTGCAGATTTGTTAAACAAATCGGTAGATTTATTGAATGAGAATTTTCAAATGTCATGTGTATTCAAAAATAACAATTAATGGGGAACAAATTGAAAATGTGACAAACTTTGAATATCTAGGCTATGTAATAAATAGCAATGGAGACAGTTTGAGAGAAATCAAAAGGAGGATGGCCATAGCAATGCAAAGATTAAACAATCTTAATCTATGATTAACCAAAGCAAAGAAATCAAAATTAAATTTTTGAGATCATGCATCTTCCCTGTAGCAACATACAGATGTGAGTCGTTGACTATCTCCCAGTCCTTAAGAAAGAAAACAGGAGCTTTTGTGCTGAAAATCTACAGAAAGATTCTCAGAATACAATGAACAAAGAAGAAATGAAACATTCCATTAACAAAAATCTTAACATCAAGAAAGACTGGCTAATAAACAGCATCTTGTCTCGGAAGCTGAAATATTTTTGGTCATATCAAGCACCATGGTGGAGCGAAAAAATAATAGCAGAAAGCGTGGCACCAGAAAGAAGGGACAGGGGCTGAGCAACACGAATATGGGCACAGGATATAAGGGACTCCTTGAATATGAAAGTACATGAGGCGGGAGAGCTGGCGAGAGACAGAGTGTCTTTCAGGCAAACCGTGATGAGAGCAACGTTCTACAAAGCACCTGCTACATGATGATAATGCGTATTCAAAATTACATTACTGTAGGGTGCAAAAATATGGACTATGAAGATGCAGTGTGAAAGTTTAATTACCACTTTGGAGATGTGGATCAAAATATGGCATATTTCATTTAATAAAAACAGTTAGATACAGAGATTCTAGACAGACTGAGAATGATGAAAGAATCGATGGAAGAAATAAAAAAATAAAAAAAGACATGTGAAACATATTAGTTTAATTTAATGACATGACATTCTAATTTTTTTTTTTAACTACACTGGTGGGAAAATTTAAAAGCAGAAAAGCAAAGAGGAGGAAATTACAAATCTGGAAAGATAGCATTTAGAGATGGACAGCCATAAAGATAAAGAGTGTTGGAAATAAACGGTAGCCAACTTCCATTAATAAGATGACACCTAATTGACTGAGTGAATTTACTACTTTATACTTCTTCTTCTTTTTTAGTGTTCACTGCCTGTAAATTCTAGTGGAAAGTTCACTTCCACTTCTGAACTTTGCTCTTGCTTCAGAACTTGAATTTAGCATACACACCCATTTTACAGATATCGCTTATTTGTTTGCAGACTGCTGATTTCTCACCAATCCTTCAGATGCACTCTGATTCTGAAAAAAATAACCATAACAAGCATAATTCTACAACATGCTTGTTGGGAGGTGGTGGGGATTGGAAGGGGCCAGGGGGCGCGGGTCTATCCCCCCCCCCCTCCCCAAATGGGGTCCTGGAATAAACACCTAAGGGTACAAATGTTTTTTGAGATAACTGAAGATTGTAAGTGGAGCTAGAAAGTTCATTATTTGTGTGGCATTCTCTACAGCAGTGCTTTTCAAAATGTGTGTTACAATACAGTATGTCAGCTGCAGTGTGAAGGTGTGCCACGTGAACGTAAAGCTATATATGTACCCTATCTCTTGGGGGGGGGGGAGGAGGAGTTTAACCTCTGGTTTTCTAGTAGACTGAATTACAATGTGGCAAAATTGTGTTTGTCTGAAAAGTGTGTCATCAGCATGAAATATTTGAAAAGCTTTGCTCTACAGGCAATCAGCCACTCTGTAGACCGAGACCACAGCAGGTAGCATAAAACACTGCATGATAAAGCTAAATCGCTTATCTTGAATCATCAAAGAAACTGTTTTATTAACTGCTTATAATTTACTTACTTGTAATTTGATATCCAGCTCCTTTTTAGTTTCAAAGTACGACCTGCAAATTAGAAGAGTGAATCTTTATTAGCATTACTTTTCATTTCATCATACAGCTATTGATGCAGTAATTTTTGATGTTTTTATTACTGCATGCAAATGCAAATGATGTATTCGAAGTGAATGAAAACAATAAGTAGAAATACTGTGTTTCTATTTATTCCTTTTCATTTAGATTAAGGTTAGTTACCAGTATTTTAAAGGTCGTGGGTTCGGTCCCTGACAGGGGCCAGATGTTATTCCAAAATTACCTTGGCTCCCAGGTCAACCTACCATTGAGTGGGTACCAGGTGCAGTCCTGGGAAGTAAAGGTGACCGGGGTGATGCTGACCACATCACCCAATCATTTGGTCTATAAAATATAGGTCTAACCCTATACACCTAATACGCCTGATAGGCATGGAAAAGGGACCTTTACTTACTTACCAGTATATAATGTAAAATTTACTTCTGATTTTAGTCATATGTTTTAGGGACAGTCAGTGGAAAATTGTTTGTAAGCTGCAGAGGTGCAGGTTTTTCTTTTTGAAAAGAATTATTACAGTACCATGGACAGATTAAAAAAAAAATTTTTATGTGTAATGAAGGTATCTTGATACAGCCAAACTCACAAAGAGAATTATTATCTTTATCAAAAAGAGAACTACAAGAGCTTCAAGGTTCAAGAGGAGAAAGAAGGAGGTGGAGGAGGAGGTGATGTAGCAGCAGAAGAAGAAAATACTGAAAAGAAGAAAGAAGAAAGAAAGAAGTAGCAGAAAAAGAAGAAGAAGAAGAAGAAGAAGAAGAAGAAGAAGAAGAAGAAAAAGAAGAAGAAGGAGAAGGAGGAGGAGGAGGAAGAAGAAGGTGAAGAAGAAGAAGAAGGAAGAAAGAAGAAGAAGAAGGAGGAGAAGGAGGAAGTAAAAGAAAAAGAAGGCGAAAGAAGAAGAAGAAGAAGAAGAAGAAGAAGAAGAAGAAGAAGAAGAAGAAGAAGAAGAAGAAGAAGAAGAAGAAGAAGAAGAAGAGGAAGAAGAAGAAGAAGCAACAGCAGCAGCAAAGGCAGGAGGAGAAACAAATGGATGTATTACCTAGCTTTGGCAATAGACCTTTTGTGTTTTTTCTCGTACATGTGCATTTTCTTTTCGATGTCAGAGAATACAGCAGCACGCTTCAGATGCTCCTGTTCATTGGCAGATTTCTCCTTCTCAGCTTCTGTAATCTGCAAACAAATCAGTATATGGTAATATAAACACTTTTACAGTTGTGCAGTTTTTTTGGGGGGTAAAGAGTTTGCAAAGCGAAGTAAAAAAGAAGGACCTTTTTCATGCAGCTGGTGCATTGAGCATTTAAGTATGCACAGAGGAAACAGACGTTCCCACTCATATTGTTAGTTGCTTATATTGTAGCTATCATTGCAATTTGAGTTACTAAGTGTCAATCTTTTCGTCTGCAATCCCAGAGGTGAATATTTAAAAAAAAAAGAAATGGTTCCAATCCCTATCAGATTTAGAAAATAAACAAATATTTCACTATGTTCAACGGCATTCAGTTTCATTACAACTGTATTTAATTTTTAAATCAACATGCCTATAGACCAACTGATAATTGATGGGAGATGTCAGTATCACCCTAGACACATTTGGCTCCTAAGATATTAGCTTATACCCAATTTAGGTTGTGTTGACAAGAGAGCCAAGGTCAAAGCTACATGTATTCAAATTTAAGACCACTGGGCCTGCAGCAACTGTCTAGTCACTATTGTATAGCATACTATTGTTTGTACAATACAATGTACTTTACAGCTCTGCATCCCTATTTCAGGGGAGTGAATCGCAGCCATTTATGTATCTTTGTGACTCAGAGGTTAGTTTGCCCTATTTCAGCATTAGCCTTTTTATACAAGGTTTACCTATCATAAATATATATATACACTGTCTATGCTAGGAGGCTTTATGGAACCATCAGTGGGCTTTTAATTGCTAAAAAATTGCAGCAGGACTCATCATCATTATCAGGTGCCTTGCTGACTGGCGTGGGCGATCATGTCAAGCATCTTCTCTCGGTGTCTTCTTCTATCTCTCCTTCCACATATCTTTCCAGTGGTCACAACATGTTCTATTTTCCCTCTTCTCATAACATGGCTGAAAAATGATGACTCTCTCCTTCTGATGTCTGTGATAAGTTGTCTTATCCGCCTCTTTCAAAACCTCTTGGTTGCTCTTTTTGGATGTCCAAGGTATTCTAAGCATTCTTCTGTAAAACCACATCTCTGAGGCCTCCAGAAATTGTTTGGCCTGCCTACTGATTGTCCAGGATTCACAGCCATGTGCAGCAGGACTACAAGCTTTATTGTGATTTTATGTACTGCATTATTCACAACCTCAGTGTCAGGTGTGAATGGCAAAAATACTGTCTGTCTCATCATCTTAACCTCACCGTCTCGGGAAAAAAAAACCACACACGCACACCCATCCCAACCCCCCACCAGCGCACGCATGCTCACACACACACACGCGTGTCTTGAATAGTTTATATGATGTTTGGTTACTTTTGGGTTGTTGTTGTGTGATTTAATTTAAAATAATATATATGAACAGCATACAAAACATTTTGTTAACATTAATATATTAAACAAAGTAGAGTGAAAAGTACATTGACAATCACAAATGATTGGATGTAGTAATGTTTTACCCACAAAATTTCAACGCTTGAAAAAAAATTCATTCAGAAAAGTAAAATACATGCTAAGAAATAAAAAAAAAAGAATATCAACAAAGCAAGGTGAAAAATGTGAGATTAGTTATGTAAATGATAACCCTTTAAATATGTTATGTTAAAAGAAGTGAATATTCTGAAGAAATGTATTAGAAAATAACAAGAAATGATAAGCAAATTCTATTAAACAATTGCTGGTTAAGTCTGGTGCATGCAACAATTTAGAAGTTAAATCATACCCTTAACACAGCTAAGTTAAGCATCTCTTGCCAGGCCGGAGACAAACTAGCAGCTTTATCATCCATGAGACGAAGCTCAGCTAGAGAGAATGTTTCTTTTGCAGCAAGATAAATGCCATTAGATGTTTGAAACTTCCTGGCTGACCTCAAAGCTTGATTCTGTGCCTGAAAAACCAAAAATATTATATTTTAAACACTGTGTATTTGACCGCTATGCCTAATAGTAAGTTCAGTATGAGTGCAAAGAATGAATTCAATACAAACTTCCCCGTATAGAAATGGGTGGTGGGGGGGGGGGGGGGGGGAGATTTATTGCTCCTTAACAAGCAGGTCATAAAAGATGATTGATTAAGGATTTGCCGAAATCATATGTGTTTTGCTAAAAAGCACAGATAACAGTCTAACTGTAAACCACAAAACAACATAGCAACTACCCTTTTAAACACACCTAAAAGCACGTGCCAGTGCTTTTAATCATATGTAAATGGGTCAGTTTAATCTAAATATAGTTAATGTATATTGCCCTTCAGCCAATAAAATACGAGGTAACAGAAATCTGTAAGAAAAGTCCAAAAACGGCTAAGGACGTCCATAGCACTGGGGGTCAAGAAAAAAAATAACGTCCAAAGACGGGCGTAGCAGTGTACGGGAAATCGGGAAAAGACGTCCATAGCAGTGAAAGGGTTAAGGACTAAGGCACAAGAAAGTAAAGTCTTTATATATAAATGATGGGTGATGTGGTCAGTATTGCGTTGGCAGGCTTTATAGTGCAGGACCTCTCTTAGTACTCATTTTATGCAGGGTCGATTTTGGTGCTTCTTTTCCTTCTATAATCCGCTTGGATGAATGAATTAACTATAACAGATATCTTACTTTATCACTGCACTACCACAATTATTCAGGCTAGATGCATACAGCTTCACAAAAATGAGTACCAACAAATTTAAGACATTTCTTAAAACTTGTCTTGTCAGGAAATGTCTCTTCTGTTCATCTAAGCACAGTTTGTGAACTATAGCAGAAGGTTCTGGTTATTTGTTAACTTCTGATCTCTGGTCTTGTTTTAGGACTGAGTTTTATGTGCACATCCGTTTAACTGATCTGGTTTATTCTCATGCAGACTTTATGTTCCTCACCTCTCAGTCCAATGCATTTGGACTTTGAAGGAAGCTAACATTTATGACATGTTTGTTAGGGAGGCAGTGATTCTATTCTTGCCTTTCCCCAAAATGGGACCCCCAGACCCATACAGGGAGGAAGGTAAGGTGACAATAAAGGGAACTGGCCACCCAGCTTCATATGTCATAGCCTAATATGAATGTCTAACACATTTTTTTTGTTTTTTGTTTTTAGCAATTGTTTTAATATTTTATATAATTAAAAAAAAAACATATTATATATATTTACTATCCAGTACCCTACTGTAATAATAATAATAATAATTATTATTACAAGTTAAACAAGGCTTGAGCCCCTTGATTCCCCTGTCCCAATGTTTTCTTCATGGTAATGCACCTGGTGTGTGTTAATTATTTTCTGTCCCAGCACACATTTATCAATCTTACAGTGATACCTAGGCTAATGAGCCACCTGGCTAATGAACTGTTCAACTAAAGATGCTAGTTTTCATCATTTTTTTTTTTTTGCCTCAGCTAATGAATTTGGATTCTGCTAACAAATGTTTTATTTGATGCTCATGCAAACATAACAAGAAACCTATACGTAGTAGAAAACTGTGGAAAAATCACATTTCAGCTAATGAAAATTGTGCCTAAAATTTGTGATTCTGGAGTGAATTATCTTCATTAACTAAGGCATCACTGTAAAAGTTTCTATTAATAGTGTATGCTTCTTCAACAGTCGACACCTGTGGCTTTAGTGATGCGAACACACAAGTAATTCTGAGGTGCGAGGTTCGATTCCAGCTGTGGTCGATTTTGTAGCAGACTACCTTGTGTTGGTTCAAACACAGGTATCGACACTCGACCACTCAGAAGTGATAGCAAACTATTGAGCATATACATTGCCTAGTGAAATCACACAGTGAAGTTAATATACCTTTTCACGGCTTTAGGCACATCAGACATATGGGAAAAGCATCTATATTTTTACAGACCAATCGGCACTACATTGGTAATGTGGTCAGCATTACGCCAGACGTCTTTACTTCCCCAGGGCATACATCCTGGTACCCATTTTTACCATGGTAAAAATCCCCGCAGCTAGCAGTAGGTTTTGATCGTGGTACACTGGAATTACAAGTCGGACTCGCAACGCCTACGCCACGGATGCTGCACATAAACATGCTACCAATCTGGGTTGTTTCTGCAATGTCCTTTAACGGTTTTGCCACTAAGATATTTTTCTGGAACATACTAATTCTCCGTTGCGGAGAACTAATTAGTTATGGAACAAGACTAAAGTCCAGAAGTTGACAAACAACCAGAACTTTCCACTGGAGTTTAAAGCTGATAAGCGCTGCAAAGAAGAAAGTAATAAAAAAAAAATATTTACTTCTCTGTAGGCATCTTGTAGCTCATAATATGGTCTGGCTCTCTTGATGCTGGCACTGAATTTCTTTTTCAGCATTTCCAGTTGTTGAGAGGACTCCAGAAATGTGCTCTGATACTTGGCTCTGGATTCCTGTACATATATTTATTTATTATCCATTAGACATTAAATTACTATAATAAAATAAGGCAAACCAAAATCTTCTCATGAGCCTTGAGCCTGTAAGTGGACATCTGCATTTATAAAAAATATGAAAATTTCCACATTTGGACACAGTAGGCTATTATGTGATGTATAATTTCACAATCTTCCTTATCATGAAGTGAGTTTTCTTTTCTTTTCTTCTGGTAATAGCTTCCTTTAGAAATGGAACTGAATATCAACTGTGAGATACCATCCAAAGAGGAAATTAGAAAAGCTATAAATCTTCTTAAGGAAGGAAAGGCGTCAGGCCCAGATGGTATCCCAGCTGAAGCCATCAGGACCAACATAAACACATCAACAGAATTGCTACATAGATTATTCAGTAAAGTCTGGGAGACCGAAGAAATACCAGCAGACTGGAGGGAAGGATATCTTGTGAAACTGCCCAAAAAAGGTGATCTACAGGAGTGTGAAAACTATAGAGGAATTATGTTGCTGTCAGTTCCTGGAAAAATATTAAGTAGAATTATTTTTTGGAAAGATTAAAAGATGCTATTGATAAAATGCTAAGAGATGAGCAGGCGGGTTTTCGGTTCCAACAGATCCTGTACTGATCAGATAGCCACCATTACGTATTATAATAGAGCAAAGCATTGACTGAACTCACCACTTTACATTGCGGATTTATAGACTATGAAAAAGCATTTGACAGCATTGATAGGGATCTCTCTGGAAATTGATGGGGGCACTATGGAATCCCACAGAAAATTATCAACTAGTAAAAGGCAACATATAAAAGGACATGAAATGTCGAGTTCTTCATGAGGGAAAGCTAACAGATGCATTTGAAATAAAAACAGGTGTGCGACAGGGAATGTCTTTTGTCGCCTCTCCTATTTTTACTGGCTATAGACTGGACTATGAAAACAGTAACTGCTAACACCAAGAATGGAATTCAGTGGACCCCCTACAAAACAGCTTGATGATCTGGACTTCGCTGATGATATTGCCTTTCTGTCCCATTCACGGAATCAGATACAAGATAAATTAAATATATTAATGCGAGATCACAGCAGCTTGGTTCTGAAAATCCATAAAGGAAAGACAAAGAAAATGATAATAAATCAGGCAAATAGTAATGTGGTTTCTCTTAATGGCACCCCACTCCAAGACGTCGAGTCGTACACCTATTTGGGCTGTAATGTAGATAAAGATGGGAGAACTGATAGAGATATTAAAATAAGAATAAAAAAGGCAAAAGGAGCTTTCATAGCACTAGGGAATTTGTGGAGGTCAAAACAAATTAAAAGACATTAAAAAAACTAAAAAATTTTTAATTCTAATGCCAAATCAGTACTTTTGTCTGGGGTGGAAATATGGAGAACAACTAAAGCAATTACTAATAAATTACATACATTCATTAACTGGTGCCTGTGCAGAATAGAGGGAATTAAATGGTATGATAGAATAACTAATGTAGAACTTTGGGAGAGAACTAAACAGGCTCCAGTGGATCAGGAGGTGAGGAAAAGACGCTGGCGTTGGATAGGGCACACACTGAGAAAACAGGAGAACAGCATAACTAGAATGTCTTTGCATTGGAACCCACAGGGGCATAGGAATAAAGGAAGGCCAAAAAACACATGGAGAAGAGAGCTGGAGAATGAGGTTAGAAAGATTGGGAGGACATGGGGAGAGCTCCATGTAATGGCGAAGGATAGAACGACTTGGCGTGAGTTGGTTGAGGGCCTATGCTCCATTGGGGGATAAAAAGGCAGAAGAAGAAGAAGAATAGCTTCCTTGATTTACATCAACAAACAAGTTCTTGTGAGAAAATTGACATCCTTTGAGTTCCTCATTAGTTGCATACAGCTCTGATTATGGATTCCTCATTGGTTGCAAACAGCTCTGAATATAGGTTTCTCATGTGGGTTCTGGGGACCCATTTCGGAGGGAGGAAGAAGAACAGACAAACTAACCTTCTAACAAGCATGTCACTGACTAATTAGGGATTTTTCCCTTGAAGTCAGAGTGCATCTGCATGAGAGACAACGAATCAACAGTCTGCATACAAAGAAGCCATGTCTGTCAAAGAGATGTCCACACAAAAACTCATATCCTGGAACAAGGCCAAAGTCCAGAAATTAACTAACAACTAGAACTTTCTGCCAGAATTTACAGTCAGTAAACACCAAGAAGAAGAAGAGTATGGTGCTGACTCAATGGACTAGTGTTTCCTTCCTAACGGGCTTACAACTGGCAGGATATAATATGTTCTGCAGTTTGTATTCACTGCCCACAAGGACACAGTGCAGTGGCGAGGAGAACAAGTAACGTCTAAGTGCTGCTTGTACTTCCATTTGCTATGGGAAAATTATTTTACTATATATTATTATTGTTTACTGTTTATTAAAAATACACCACTCGGTTTGAGAGTTGCCGTGATGTAGTGGCTAGACACTTGCTTGTGGATCGGAAGGTCATGAGTTCAGGTCCTAGTCGAACTAAAAAATTTTTTTAAATGACCTCGACCCCCAGGTTTACCCAGCCTTAAGTGGGTACCAGGTGCAGTCCTGGGAAGCAAAGACGGCAGTTGTGATGCTGATCACATCACCCATCGAGTGCCCTTTGGTCTATAAAATAGAGGTCTAGTCCTATATTCCCAATACGTTTTAAGGAGTGAAAAAGGGCCTTTTAATAAATATTAGGAGATGTAAGCAGGAGAAAGTGAGGGAAGACGAAGGAGAAAGAAGATGGCGGAGTAAGAAGGTTGACGCAAAGAGAAGATGAAGTACAGATGAAGGAGGGGGAGGCAATAAAGAAGAAGAGTTGTGGTGTCGGCAGGGCTTGTTACCCTGTTTTGCACCTGGGGCCCATTTGTCAATACAACACAGCACAGTGGTTGAAGCTGCAGCAGCAGCTGTTTCTGTATAACAAAAGCTGTTTAAGAAAGATTAAATTTATAACCAACACTCCGAAAGCCACTGCATTTGGTTTTTAAAAGGAAGTCTTTGCAATAAAAACAAGATGTATTGTTTGTAAGTCATACTTCCTTGTTAACAATTCCAGGATGCATGGCTGGATATTTACATCGCTAAGTGTTCGACTAAACAACATTTGAAACACTCACATCAATCTCTCTTTCTAGTCGGTTAATGTCTATCGCTGCTTGGTTCAGTACCTCCAGCTCAATCTGAAATTGTGCAGTCAGAAAGAACATGCTGTGAATCAGTGTTGTTCAGGTATACATGCTTGTTATCTCATAAACATAAACACACACATGTATATATGCATTTGTGAGTATGCTTTTAAAATTGTTCCGGGAAATGGGACACACAAGGGAATTAAGCCTTTTTTAAGTGCGTAAGAATAATGTACTATATGGCTTACAAAATAGAATATATTTGAAGCTATACAATATTTTAAAAAATAATTAAAATGAGAACATCTATATATGGTTTGGGGTGGGGGTGGGGCGCTTAACAACTGTTTCATATTTTCTAGGGCTAACATTTTGAGGTAAGTATGCGCTGAAATCCCAAGCCTGCTGGCTCCGGGCTCATAACACCGCCCCCTCCTCTCCCAATGTAGTTAAGATCCATTTGTATAACCGTCTATGTTTTCTGTTTACTGCAATGCTTATTCAACATTTACCAACTTCCTCATATCCTTATGATCACGTTCTCTCTCTCCCTCTCTCTCTCTCTCTCTCTCTCTCTCTCTCTCTCTCTCTCTCTCTCTCTCTCTCTCTCTCTCTCTCTCTCTCTCTCTCTCTTCAGTAAACATGTTCCGCGTGCATGCAGTAAATAATGGAACACGTTGATTCTAAAACAAGCATAGATTAACTTTTATAATTCATATATATTTTACGATATAACAGCTGGTCAGGCAAATGAGCAAAATAAACCACAATAAATACAAAACAAAAGGGCAGAACAACCCAACTAACAGAAATAAAAGTTACTTTGTAACCGTCTGTTGCCTCAATATATCTGTTTTACGTGGTTGAAATAGTTTTCTTGCATTTACTTCTGTATAATTCTAAAAGTAGCTCTTTTAATCGCTCAGTGTCAGTCAAGACTGTTTCAAGATTGATTAAAAATGATTCCATCTATGTCGATGTTACATTTAGGTATTTCTCTCTTTTCGGTAGGGGAAGTGGGGTGAGAGGTGGTCAAAAATAGTAAGCTCATTGTGCAAAATAATGCATAAATTGACTCTAACAAGGTTGGGACACGTCCATCTTTAGACTATAAATTTATAGCTTCAGACGGGCGTGGTTGAAAGTAAGCACAAAGTATCTCCCGATCACCCTAAATGAAACATCCTTTTAACGGGTCTAATTATACACTTATTTATGTAATGTAAAAACGGATAAAATAATGAGGTATTGAAGTAAGAATATAGAAGGCAAGAGGAGCAATCAAAGCAATAGGGCATTTGTGGACGTGATCATATTTTTTAAATACAGCAGGAAATTTCTCGAACGTTAAATGAATACTGTGATATGGAGCGGAAACACGGAGCACGACCTAACAATTACCCATAAGCTAATCATATTTGTGGCAGTTGTGTCTAAGGCGTTGCGAGTCCGACTCGTAATCCAACGTACCGCGGTCGAAACCCACTACTGGCTGTGTGGATTTTTATCGTGGTATGGGACGTCGCAGGTCGACCCAGCCTCAAATGGGTACCAGGATAGCTGTCCTGGGAAAGCAAAGACGGCCGGCGTAATGCTGACCACATTACCCACCGAGTGCAGATTGGTCTGTAAAAATATGGGTGCGTCCCATATGCCCGATGCCCCTAAGGTCGTGTAAAGAGGTCTTTACTTTTTTAAAATCATATTTATGGACTTGAGCCAAGACAAAAAACACTGAACTGGTCCGGCACATGATAGTTTTTTTTTTTATTATTAAGTATTTTAACAATGTTTATTATGTTGAATCTCTGACTGCCATTAAAAGAAGAAACCCAGAATTTTGCCTCCCATGTGTTTCCTTCGGGCCTCCTTGTGGGCCATAATACCAACAGATGAGGTCATCACAATGAAACCAAACTGCCTTGATGGCAGAAGGTTGTTTGTCCACTTCTCCAAGTCCCTGACAGACACGTCAAATCTGGGACTGACCACTCCACAATTATTTTATCTGCCTGCCAGATTAACGACAGTCTTGCCAGCTGTGTGATCGTCAATCTGTTCGAACTCCCCAATGTAACCATGCTTCATCATGACGATGACCTTTGACGCAAGATCTGGCGTTTGCCACACTTTTCAGCCTTGGAAATAGAATTGAGAGCATCGGATGATGATTTATAAACTGGTGTCTGCACAGAGCTGGAGGATTTAAATCGCATGATGCAATCAGTAAATCCGAACTTAACGGAAATAAAAGTAAGGGAAAGACACTCCGCTGGATGGAAAACGCGTTAAAAACTACTGATGTAGCTGAAAAGTCCTGTCTCGTGGACCTACAAAGCACGCACACATATACGCTCGCGCGCACGCACGCAGAGACACATGCATACACACTATTATACGCACGCACACAAAGAGGGCGCTGTGTGGTATTCAGGCACGGTGTCCGCCTCGAGTGCTGGAGCTCTAGGGTTAAATTTTGCCCTGGCAGCGGCGTTAGGCTACTCTTTTCGGTAAAGCTGGGATTTTTTACGTGGACTTTTAGTATTTTTCCCTGGTCACACAGGCCCGCGTGTATTGTTAAGCACACACAAAAAAAAAAAATCCCTTGGCAGCTGAAATCGAAAAGAGTAGCCTAACGACGCTACCCGGGCAAAGTTTGGAGTTAAAATCCGACTCAGAGTATTTTAGGCTTGAGACAGAAGTAGAAAGGAGCATTTGTGGGTTACTACCCTTGTGCCAAGTCGGCCCTGTGGCTAAGTTGATGCGAACGCTGCGCAATGCCGGGATGCCGGGTTCGATCCCAGCTGCGGGCCATGCGCCTTGCGTTGGTTTCGACAGTGGTATCAAGAAAGCCAACCGCCCAGAAAGCAATGGCAAACTACTAGACTTAAATTTGCCTAGAAAAACCACACAACAGCCATGGGTTGTTGGGGTTGGTTCTGCAACGTCCTGTAAAGGATACGCAATTAACTTTAACCCTTCTGTCATGATGCTGATCCGTCGTCTAAACCTAAACCTAAAAATAAAAAAAAAAAGAAATTTACGAAGAGAAGAGAATTAGAGACAGGGATGGATAATATGGGGCGGACATAAAAGTAGAGCATAGGCGTGAATGAGACAGAAGATGCTATGCCTACCTTCTTTACAGTAAGATAGCAAAGACAGTCGCACAACCGTTCCCAGCAAAAGACATTTCACAACACAGACAAGTCTCCTACCACAACAAGAATTGTTACAATTTGTGAGACACGCGGAAAGAATACCATGCGTCATGTAAGGTCATTTCTGTTTCACGCCCTATATGACTTAGCGGAACGGAAAAACAAAATACGTAAAAGTTATCAAGATATTTTATACCTATGACGAACAACAAACAACAACAGGACATTATGTAGGTTGGATTTCCTCTCATCGCGATAACAAAGACATATGCAAGCGTCCCTAGTAAACACTCTAGTGGGCTACTGGAAAGAAAGACTGATTGTTTAGCTTGCGAGACAGCAGCTGCATAAACATTTGAGGTAGGCAAAATCGTCTCAACAATACCTCAACTAATGCAGTACTGAGATGTGACAGATGTTGACGAGGTCTATGAAAAACTCTCCTTGAGTTTGGTAACTGCAGTCAAAGCTAAATCGTCAGGTCTGTACATATTCTACCCCTGACTGTGGTGGGTTGGTCAATTTTATTCTTAGTCATCTGTCCTTCACATTCAATTTCCAGACAATTATGAAAACCGTCCCTTACAATAACCCCCTTGTGTATGTTTGTCAGATTTTATTTCTATAGCTAACTGGGTTCCAATTCACGGACATTTAAATAGTATTTAATATCAAATTTATTCAACAACGCTATATAGACGTGACAAAATATGTTCGTGCATTCTTGTACAAATGTATCAGCCTATCCGCCTGCCAACTCTTTCCTTGGTCAAATTGTCTTTATTTATAAATGTGTCTGTCTGACCTGTCATCACTGACTCCAACAAAAGATACATTTGGTTAAATTGTGTAAGTGTTCCTGGATTGACTTCCTGATTAAATCACCACTGATCACTTGCATCATGATAGCTAACAGACTGAAATGGCTAGGGTCTATCGAGATAATGTCAGGTTGCGGTGACTGTATACAAGGGAGTTGTTTAGAGGCAGACCACGAAGACGATGAGGATATAATATTCAGAGAGACCCACAAACATTTGATGTTACCAACTGGAAAGAGAAGGCCAAACAGAAAGATGAATGGAGGCGTGTGATATCTGCAGCAATGATCCTCAGAGGCTTGGAATTCTGAAGCAGAAGAAGAGAAGAAGTAATGCGGATCTTAAAACAACCTTCTAGAAGATTGTACATACCAACAACGTCGTTAAGTGCCCTGAAGACTCAGGCAAGTGATTATACTTATTCGTACCTTGCTCTCTCCAACAGCATGTACCATTCTGTGTGCTGACACCTTTCAAAACTGAGGAAACTAGCGCTTCTTTTGTTGACTTTATACATCTGTCTTTTCTTCACATATTTAGTTGTCACGGCAAGTTTGTTTTTCAGTTTTCACAACGTACTGAAAGAAATTACTGTAGCCTCTTTCCGATGTCTATGAAAGTTTTTCTTGTCTAAATCACCCATTTTGGCCGCACACATACATTTTACGTAAAACTCTCTTGTACCGTCAGCTCCTTTAAGATCTTGTGCAATATTTATATCCTTTATTAAAACCCCTGTAATTTTGTATTGCCTTCTAGATGTTAACCCCTTACCCTCTTTTTTTCACCACAAGCACTTAGAGGCAACACCCCTCCCCCCCCCCCCCCCCAAAAAAACCCCATTAAACGTAAACAAACTTCAAAATAATCCGCTCGTTTGATGGCATACATAAAGTTATACATACAGGCCTTGTACTTTTTATGTTGTCGATGTAACTGATAACGAACGAATGCCTGTCTGACTAGCTCAATTGCACTTGATATAAACATATCAAGGTTCAACACGATGTAAACAAAATTGTCGACAAAAGAAGGACTGCAGTAGATCTCAGAATTAACTAAACACAATACACAAAATGAGTGTAGGCTCAGAGAAATGACAAAAGAGAGCTGACCAACTTTTCTTAGTTGTTGTTGTGCATATTTCTTTCATTAGTTGATAAAAACTTGTATCGACACGTTGAGTTTTATGTTTATTGCTTAATCGACAGATCGATATGATTGCAAACGGATGTAACCCATAAGTGCTTCGTTCTACTTCTAGCTCAAGCCAGTGAGTAACAGTAAAAGACCCTTTTTCACGCCTTCAGGCGTATAGGACATATAGGGCTAGACCTAAATTTTACAGACCAAGCTGGGTGATGTGGTCAGCATCACGCCGGCGGCCTTTACTTCCCGAGACTACACCTGGTACCCACTCAAGGCTGGGTCGACCTGGGATCCAGGGTCATTTTTGAAAAAAGTCCGGCTATGACAGGGAGCGAACCCACGACCTTCCGATCCGCAGGCGAGCGTCTAGCCGCTCCGCCAAGACAAATTATTTACTAGCAAGACAGCAGGAAATTACCCGCCAGGGAATGCACATGAATCTGAAGAATCTCAACGCAGTGTTGGAACTCCGTTGCACCGGCGAGGATCCTGAAATACTTAGATAGAGTCGATTTTTAACTCCAAATTGTTGCCTGGGCAACGCCGTTAGACTACTCTTTTTCGAGTTCCAACTGCTAATGTATTTTTTACGTGCGCAACAATACACACGAGCGTCCGGTCTTAATATCCAGAAACCATGGGAAATTACTAGAGGTCCACGTGAAAAAATTCCAGCATTCACCGGGCCTGAACCCGGGATCTCCATCACTTGAGGCGGACGCCGTACCTCGAGACCACCCAGCCATGTTCATTTGTGCCCGTGTGCGTCTTCGTTGCCTTTCTAGTGTCGTGGTAATGTAATTAACAATACATAAAAATGCACATACTTGATACCTCTTGCTAGTTCGTTTTGCGGATTTTTCATTTTCCTTTTTAATTTCACAAGGAGCCGAGATAGCACCGTGAGCAGAGTGTTAGCTTGTCAATATCACGGTCATGAGTTCTTCTTCTTCGTTCATTGGTTGTAAACACGGTGGAAAGTAGTGGTTGTTCGTCCATTTGGACTTTTAAGTTTGTGTGACATAGCGTGAGTTTTGCGTATACACACCCGTTTTACTATTTGTGTGCAGTTGGCTATTCCTTGCCTCTCGGGCAGATGCACTCTTTCATTTTGGTAAGTTAAATGTTACTTTTGGTGTCCAAATGTGACCAATATAACCCCTCTGGATCTAAACAACTATTTCTGTATGTAATAAATACTTAGGAATCAACCAGTTAAGTGATACCTGCCTGGGACTGAAAGTGTTCAGGGGTGATTGGCATGTTGTAGTTTACAGCTAGGCGGCGAGATACGCGCCTTTTGACATGCAATTTCAGGAACCTGTAAACCTTTATTAGTCGCCTAGCTGGCACGCTTGTTAACTCTTTCTGTTCCAGGCAACTAATGAGGAGTGCCTAGATTACGTCGCTGTGTATCAATCCAACACCTGCTGTATTATTATTATTTCATGTTTGGTCAGCGTATGCAAAATAAATCTGACCAGATTTGTTAAATCATCACAGTGTATGCTGTAACTTTAAAACCATACAGTGATGCCTTTTTTACACTGTAGTTTTGTTGTTGTTGCCAAACTGGGTTTCCGTTTTGAAACCATCTGGGACCTAAAGAGTTAAAGAACAGTGGTCCTATTCTGTCCCCTTCTAAACCAGTCGGGTCTCAGAACCCACACGGTTAGAAATATTTGTTGGTACTTAATTTATAACTTACCCCTGACGTCACGACAACGTCACGGGAGACAATCCCAATAAATTCTAGGGTTTTCAGGTTGTAGTTGCTCGCGATTTATCTACAGCCAAGTTTACGGTTAGGGTTAGGGTTAGGGTTAGGATTAGAATACACTAGATGAACACACACACAAAAACACCAAACAACAGCACACTTGCACCCCTTGAAATAATGGACTGTCACGTCAGCTGTGGATTTCCCACGGGGATTTCGTGTTTGGGGTAGGTTATAAATTAAGATCCTATTTGTTTCATCTCATGTATATCACTTTTTGTGATATTTAATTCTGTAATTGTATTTCCAGTGTTGAAAGCTTAGATCAGAGACCTTGTCGATCTCGGCAATATAAGCTGATCAGC